GTTGGCAAAGGATGTTGAAAATACCGTGGACTGCCAGAAGAACAAACAAATCAGTCTTAGAAGAAATACAACCAGAATGCTCCTCAGAAGCAGGGATGGTGAGACTTCGGCTCGCTTACTTTGGACGTGTCATCAGGAAAGACCGATCGCTCGAAAAAGATATCATGTTTGGTAGAGGCTCAATGAAAATGAGGGAAACTCTCAGTAAGATGGATTGACACAATAGTTGCAACAGTGGACTCCAACACACCAATAACAGAGAAGATGGAGCAGAAGCGGGCAACATTTTGTTCTGAGCTGACTCAACAGCAACTAACACCACCACCTGGAGGATTACTTCTCGGAATCAGGCTTGTCATAATTCTGTAAGATGAGCAAGGTCAGTGGACATCAGTTTACCCTTTGGGCAAAATGGGTACTTGTCCCAGAGGCTAATTTCATTTTGATTCATTTTGAGCATAATATCTAGGAAAGATTTTGACAGCTCTATTAGACAGGGGTTGCCATGAGTTGGAATCGACTCAACAACAATGTCATAAAATTGACGATGGCAGCAGAAAGTCCAGGAGCAGGGCTGTTGACACAGCCAGGAACCTGGAGGAACTAGGAAAGAGTGATGGATGGGGTCGGGGACGGTGGCAGGGGTGAGGCCAGCCCGAGAGGCACGATAGAGAAAGAACTGCAGGATTTATTATAATCAGCTAGATCTGGCTTCCGGAGAATGGGAAGAATGGAGAGACTCAGAGCTGGTTCTTTTAAGACCTGGGCAGAGGCGACTTTATACTAAATGTTCAAGATTCATCAGAAAGCTCTCTAATTTAATATTCTACTTTTCCCCCTAAAATGAAAATCTGTTTAAGGAGAGCAATTCATAGTTTTACTTGATGGTTATGATGAGCCTTGCAACAAAGATCTATTTTTATTTTTAAACCTCATAATTGAATAAAATAGCATGCTGTTCTCAGTGATTCCATTAGCTACTCCTGCTGGAAGAAAGCCAAGCTGCTCAGACCCCAGACCCCATCGAAGTGACTACCACCTTCTACGCAGTAGTTTGCCCTAATTAAATATCGTTAGGCAACCTACCGAGTGTTAGTCTTGTGAAGTGGTGTAAGCATCACAGAGAAAGGAAGGAACATAGACAAGTCTCTGGGCTAATGTAGGTTTCATGTTACATGGAAGGCAACATAAAGACCTTCAAGAACTCTTGGCCTTGGATTTTACGACACAAGCAATAACCAATGTCATGTACGCTTGTAAGTGTTACGAAGAAGACAGAACTAAGCTTAGAAGTAGTGGAAACAGAAAAAACGAAAATTCTCTGCTACTCTATCTTTACCTGTAGGTGTTAACTACACATGTACAAATGAGTAACATTCTTTTAGAATGTTTTCTCTTTTTTAAACTATGCAATATGTGTGTGGAGCAATATATGCACGTGTAGTATCTATACATATATATGCATATATGTATACAAATAAATACATGTCTCTATAGATATGCTTGTGTATGCATGGAGTATTTCTGAGAGAACATACAAGCAACAGTGTATGTCAGTGTTGACAGTGTTTATCTCTGGGGAGTGCGGCAAAAGACACCCACACAAGTGACACCTTGATTTTGAGTTTGATGCTCATCGTGATATTCAAACTTTTTATAAAAAGCGTGTGCTACTCTTGTACTCAAAAGGAAAATCTAACCATTTTAAATAAAATTGACGTGTTATAGGACGAAATGGCTGCCCCACATTTTCAAAGACATGGATGGTACGAGGATGCTAGTACATAAATGTCAATGATCCTTTAGGCAAAGGAACTGTTCCTGGGTTCCAGTGAAAATTAACTACCTGTTGAGAATCTCACAATACAAACAGATCCGCCTAAGTACTAGGCCTGCTCTGAGGAAAGGAAATGGAGCGATGGGGTGGAAGGAACTTTGCGGCAGCTGTCACTGATAATAAGTGGCAGCTGCCCTTGCCAGCTAAATTCTCTGTTTCAGAAATTGCAGGGGTCCTAGGTTCTCACCTCCAGAGAGGCGATGAGAACTCTCAAAGCCAAGTTCCCAGTCGCGGTGTTTATTTCCTTCTCAGCTCTCTTTGGGTCTTTATCAAGTTTTTGAATGTGATCAAGCACAGCTGAACCGGGTTCTATATCATTGAAGTGTAATGCTGGGATATAAGGCTGCCACAATGACTTGCTTTAAGGTTATATGATATTATCTTTTACTAACACTCCATGTCTCATCCCTTCCATTAGCCTAATCTAAAAATGGCCTCCCAGGCAGACAGTGCCACTGCAGGATGGGCTGTCCCGAGGCAAACACAGAGGGACGCCAGCGGAACCAGCCACAGCTTGTAAAACTGTCTCAGTAGGTTTTGCACAAAATGATCTTTCTATAAGTGTGTATTGTTATGCCTTTTAAATTAAAGTTGCGGGGGTGTTCAGACCAGGGCCAGACCATTTGCTTCCATACACTGTGATGGCCCATTAACAGGGAGACAATATACTAAGCTGAGTTGAAACACCTGGACCATATGGCCGTAGCTCCTTCTAAAGCCCGGGGCAGTCACACACGGCGACCAATTAAAATAAAGCCTACAGGAGGTAGATTTAATATCTAAGACATTAAATATGGGACTGTTCTGTTCATTTTTGACGCTCTTTTTCTGGAAAGCCCAAGTCCCTGGGGGTGTTTGTTTTTTCAAGGCGCTACTTGCCTTGGCCATATATCACCCCTATCAATAACATAGGACCCTAATGACTCAGTATTTATTTGCGGCGGCAGGGGCTGGAATGATTTCCAAATGCACCAGGGGGCCCTCCAGTAGTCAGAACCTCATCTGTTTTCATACCAGGGATTTGCTTTTGACTCCGGTTGGAGCTGTTTGAGTTGGCGCACGGCCACCTGTACCCTTAGCTTTTTCTGTGCTGCTCTGAAGCATGCATGGAGAAATCTGAGATCCTAGCTGGTGAAAACAGAGTCCTTCATTCCAGCAGCGGTGGCTGGGTAACTACCCACTTGGCCAAGTGTTTGGCTCAATCCAGGTGCTGGAAGGCACCATTCAAAGCCAGGTTCCAGTCTGTTCCAGGGATTAGGTTATATTTCTGTCATCACAATATCTCCCTGACAGTCTCACCCACTGAAAAACTCCCAGCAGAAGCACAGTGATTAAATTCTCCTGGAACATTTACATATATTTCCTCCCAGCTTCTGGAAACAATCTACTACAGCCCCTCCTTCCTTCACCATAAAATCCAAAAGATACTTCTTCCATTTCTGGGCTATATGGATATATAATATATGGAAATAGATTACTCACAACCAACCCGTTCTCCCACGGCTGGAAATGACGCCAACAATTTGATTTTGAAATGACTGCGGGGAAGACTGTGGTCATAACGTGCCACCCTCCAAGAGGCTGCTTCTACTTCATATAGTACATCATAGCCGTACATTCAAAATGATGAGATGTGACCAAACGTGATTCAGATAAGCAATGTGTCCCCACTGGGCCTTTAAATTAAATGTAGAGAAAGGATCACTGACGTTCACATGCAGAAACGCGAGGGAAGCGCTTTGCTTGTATCCAAGAGCAAAACGGAAGGAAGCTCGGGAGACAGCAGCGTCTGCCAGAAGCAAACCCCTTGAAACGCCCACTGTTATTTCTGACTTGTACCCAAGTCATGTAGGCATTTCGACAGAAAGTTAGAGGATTTTTCTCCTGATATTTTAGTTTTCACAGAGTGTCCAGCAGAGGTACCAGGAAGTACCATCTGTGTGAGGCTCAAAAGCGGCCATTGTACCACCAGGTCCGGCCAGGCCCCTGTGGTGGTTTGCACTCAGACCTTTCTGACAGGGGAAGATAAAGGAGGGGAAAAAAATGCAGGAGACTACCCCATGCACGAAAAAGGAGGCTACACGGTGTCAGGTACGGCCTTGGCACCTGACAAGTAGCACGCTGAGGCATCCATCAGAAAGATCCAGGCATTCCGGAAATCTGGCAGTGGAGCTCATTAAACAAGGCTTTGTCCTTGGGACAAAACTTACTTGGAGTGATGAAAACCAAAACCCTGGCAGGAAAACCTAAAACGGGCCCTCCCTGACTACTGCCTCCGAGAGTCTATGCGTCTTAGCCTCTGTTTAATATTCCAATGACTGCGTTCTTGTGTGTCTTATCTCAACACATGCCGGTACTTTTGCTTTTGCTGTTTGATTTCAAGCCCATCAGCCTGTTTTCTATTCTCACTCGAAAAAGTTTAGATGTTAATGCTGTTATAGCGGTCCATTTACTTTGACCACAGTTTCCACACATGCTTTCCTGCGCTGCCATTTAAACAGCACTTAACATTGAGTGGTTCTGCCAGCTAGCTACGGGCCTTTGTCGAATCCACTGCTCGTCTCTGTTGCAGCACAAGGCATAGATGGCTACACAAGGCGGTACCGAGCTGTGTAAACAGCCCAAGCTGAACTAGTCCCTCATGACTACCAGCAACAGCCCAGCTACCTGGGCCGACCCCTGGGTGACCTCTCTGAGGCACCTCAGAGCACAGACAACTCCCAGCCACCTCACCATACCTCAGAGATATAGCACACAAGTTGACATTATCCATGTGGCACTTCCCAGCTCCTCGATAATGAAAAAGGGTGGGGGGGGGTGGAATCCAAGCAGCTGGTGCTTCCCGGACAAGAGACTGTGGCCGTGGGAAGCAGAGGAGGCTGAGTGGGGGTGAAAAAGGGTGGGGGGGGGGAAAGCGTATATCGCAAATTACCGGTTGTTTTGTCTCCTGCGGGAAGCTCCGTGAGGCTGCTTTCTCATACCCTCTGTTTGCTGGTCTCTGATAGGAATCCAAGATGGCGGATCC